AGCTATTTTGCCTTTGTGTAAACAATGTTACAAAAAAATCAATATGAGGAATTTAATAAAGATGCCACAGGAATGTGTGTGTGTGTGTGTGTGTGTGTGTGTGTGTGAAATCTGTGTTTGTGAGGGGTCCTCTTCTCTGCCCTAAGGAAAGACTTTATACCAGTAGGCAGTGTTTTTAAAGTTCCTCTTTAGTATTTCTTTCCTTCCAAATATTGGGCTTTTCCCTTGCTTATATGTTTCACATAAAAATGGGTAAAATTTCCTAATAGTATATTACTACAACTGTACGATTCCCTAAGGTGTCATGAAAATCTCATGTCAGAGTACTGCATATCAGAAAGAGAAAAATCAATAGTTGGCGTGAAGTCTCTGAAAGTTTCATTTTATAAAAGAAAAATATCAACAGCTACAAGAATCCATGATGCTTTGATTTTATGGCATGATCATAAAAATTCAAAGCACACAGTGGCAATATTTTATATGTATTAAGAATGAAATCATTTCCAAGGAAATATGCCTTCTCTCCATGTAGCCTCCCTCATTATATTTTATAATTAGACAGTATATATTTTTCCAATTATCTAAATATTGTTAAAGATGATCAAATCTAGTATAAAATAGCATTATTATTCTAAAGTCATTATTATGAACTGCTAGAAATGCAAAATGATATATAATGCACTTTAAAATGTACAGAATATACCTGTTTTTTCAAGAATTATGTCTAAGCATAAATAATCACTCCCTCTACAGATTACTGCAAGTACAAAATCCATATCAAAACTGACAGGGAATAAGCACTGTAGGCTTAGATACAGATGCCTAAAAAAATCAATTCATGAGTTATTTTTAAAAAAACTAGACATTTGTAAAAATATCCAATGTAAACATAAATATATTTAAGCAGATGCAGTTTTAACTTTAAATTTATTTCCCCAAATTCATGATATTTTAGCATGTTATGAAGCATCATACATACATTTACTCTAGCCAAAATAAATTTACTTTAAATAGGCAGAGAGAGCTCAGCCAACATATTTTGGTTAGCCAACATAATTTTTTAAAGCTGTTATATTTTTAAATTGTTAGACATATATAACCACATAAACATCAGAGCTATAAAAACAAATTTAAAAAATATTAAAATGTCACAGTGCTGACATGAATATTTACACTGACTTTATTGTATTGGATATAACTGGGAGAAGGGTAAGGAAGTAGGAAAAAGAATATAGGCAGGCACAAAACAGAAGATCAAGCTGCTACTAACACCAACATTCAACATAAACTTACTCTTCAGAGCACAAGGTGGAAGAGAAAGAAAGCCTGATTGCAGGGTGCAGAAAAAGGGAAATGAAATGAAGCTGTAAATGTCAGAACTCCACTAACAGATGATACTTTATTGAATCCCTCTATGTGTACAAGTCCAAAAATGTACTCACATGTATCTTCTTGTCTAAATATCAAACAACCATCAGTTTACTTCTGACATTGTGGTTAAGAGTGAGAACCCTGATTGACAAGGATGAGTGTGCACACTTTCAATCTTGCTCTCTGTAACAACTTCAATACTCTGAATTCTGTGGGGCTTCTAATATATGTAGTAAGTTCTTTGCTATGTGCTTCAAGGTTTTCTTCATAGGGACTGGGGTACATATGTCTTACTTTGATGACAACACACTATTCTAATGAGTAGTGTTTGTAAAAGATAACAAAGATGTATATTGAATTTAATAGAGGGGGTGATAACTATAAATTTAAGTGGTCATATTACTGTCATGGTGATGGCTCAGTATATAGTAAAGAATAAATATAATAAAATACAATAAATTAATGAATTTTACTTCACTTTCATGATAAAATTCTCTGTATTTTTCTCTTTTTGAGATAGGGTCTCACTCTGTTACCCAGGCTGCTGGAGTGCAGTGGTATAATCGTAGCTCACTGCAGCCTTGAACTCTTGGGTTCAAGTGATCCTCCTGCCTCAGCCTCCCAAGTATCTGGGCCCATGCCCCACCAAGCCAGCTAATTTTTACATATTGTATTTATAGAGATTGTATCTCACTATGTTACCCAGGCTGGTCTCAAACCCCTAGCATCAAACCATCCTCCTGTCTCAGCTTCCTGAGTAGCTGGGTTTACAGAGCATCTTTTTTCTTTTATAACAAATGATCTGCTATTCAGACTCATTTTCTCCTTTTCTCCACTTTAGCTACTAAAAGACATTTCATGCTTTTGTTTTCCTATAGTCTTCATTTTCTTTTTGAAATAGTCGTGTGTGTGTGTGTGTGTGTGTGTGTGTGAGACAAATGAAAAAAGGCTTAAATTACCTGTGCCCCTTGCTGATCAGGAAAGTTCAGTTTCAGCATTAGTTAGCGTTGCTCACCTTTACACGTGTACCTTGAGGTGAAACAAGTTATGCAAAAGCAAACAAAACAAAAATCTAACTGCAAGAAAGGGCTTGTGAATTTGTGAACGACCTAGTTGTCAATAAAAAGAAGGTCTAAAACATGGCAATAGAGTCCCTTTTGTTAGTGTTTCAAGTCTGTCCAGCACCCCCTTGTTGTCACAATATTTTTTTGGTAAGTCTAAGTTCCAGGAATGATCAGAAGACCAGGAGTTTCTCAACAATAAAGCAAGCAAACGAACAAAAAAGCTTGATTAATGGAGAACTCTTGGTAAGTTTGATTCCTGTTTATTTTAGTTGTCATTTTTCTTTACATCTATGCTGTCGTCTTCCAGTTTTCTGCATAACGTTTGAGAAGCACCTATTAGAAAACAGCCATTTTACATACTTCGATTTTCATATGGGCAATATCTTAAAAATTCAACATGTACAAAATATATAAAATGAAGTCTCTTTCCCAGCTGCAATGCAGACACTGAGCTACTGTTCCAGGGAAGTTTCGCTGCTTCTGGGGAATCTGTGCTCTGTGTGTGTGTGTGTGTGTGTGTCCTTCCAGAGATGTTCTAAGCACATCACACACACACATGCACACGCACACACACACACACACACCATTTTTATTTCTACACAAAAGGTAGAATGCTCTGTACATTGTTTTCTTCTGGCTTTTAAACAAATTTAACAATTTATATTTGAGATTGTTCCCTATAAGTTTATGAAGAGTTCATGAAAAGCATCCTCTCTCTCTGTCTCAACCTCCTGGTCACAATGGCAGCATGTTTTCCTATAATATGAATGTGAAATAATGTATTTAACCCACGTCATATTTGTTGGCATAAATGGTATTTCCAATCTTTTGCTGCAATGAATAACCACGTATGTACTTGTATGTTTAATTGTACTTGGAGGACTCATTTCTAGAAGTGAAATTACTAACTTAAAGTATATTCACATTTAAAAAAGTAAACAGTATGCACATTAAAAAATTTTAAAGTTATATCAGAATTTCCTGTCATAGAAATTTTACCAATTTACCTTTCCACAAACCATAAATAAAAGCTTGGTCCCCATATTTTTATCAACCCCAAAGATAATCATACATTTTTTTCCTGAACTTGAGAGGTAAAAAGATGTTTTTCAGCTCTCACCATCTTTCTCCCATAGTTTTACTGCTATTGTAGTTTCATTGTTTATATTTAACTCATCTATTTGGAATTTGTTATAATGTAAAGTTTAAAGTATATGTCAATTTTTCCCCAGATTCTACTAAAATGGTGCCACATTATTAATTAATGCACCCTTTCCTCACAGATTTAAAAGATTATCTTTATTGTATACTGTAACTATATAAGTAAGTTGGCCTTTGTCTCAGTTTTACCATATCACATTGATCTATATATTTCTGGGCAAATACTTCATAGTCTTTTTAAAAATTTTTCAAACATGTTTAATAACCAATAGCTTATAATTTCCCATGTCTTAGCTTATAATTCAGGATTTTAAATTAATATGAACAAATTTTAACAAGGTTAGCCCCAGTTAAAAAGTATCATTTAAGTTATTGTTGGATCCAAAGGCTTGTTTATATAGTGCCATGTTGTAAATTGAAAAGCTCAAATAGTATCCTACAACATTACAAAGATAAAAGATTTAAGAGAAATATGAAATAAATAGATTTGTGTTTGCAAGGTAGTCAGCCATGTTTTGGGTTAGCTGAATAGTTAGTAGGTAGTATCCACAATAAAATATGTTCCAAGTTTAAAATTATTAACTTAAAACAAATTTAAGTTTATAAATGATTCATTTAAAGACAAATTTTGGAGTACAAGCAATTAGTAAATTGAAGGCTATCAAAGGACATATAAAAGTAAGTCAGTTGTTATCGATAGATTAAAACACAACTTCGGAAAAACATTAAAATAGAAATAAAAGGCCTCAAATTTTAATCATTTGGGACAGAGTTTCAGAGGCTGGGTTTAAGTTTTATAAATAGTGCCTTTTTATGTTTTACCATATGGAGGGAAAAAACCAACAGCACTGATCATCAAGCATCATCCATTTACCTCTGAAGTCAAAACTGTCCTATCTTCAATCCAATTCAACACTAACTCTTGAATCAGCTAATCACAGACTTAGTTAAGCAACGCCACATTTGGCTCATAAACATGGAAATAGGATAGAGAAAAACTGGCACGAATGGCAGAGGTGAAAGAAATATCATTACTTTATCAAGTAATGAGTGACAGAAGCCAGTAGGATTTTTTAAAGGAGGATGAAGGAAGGTTAGGGAATCAAGGATTAAAGTGCTCCATAAGTGTTGTCAGGTTCTTCAGTCTTTTCATAGGATTTGGCCAGGAACAATCTTCCATCTCTTGCAAAAAGTGAATACAGGCTATAGTGTTCACTTTGGTTCCCCATGTCAAAGCACCAACCACCATTTCTGTCCAAGGGCAGTCTGTGCTGGTGCAGGAATGGAAAAGAAGGAGGGGTAAAGAGGAGAGACTGGCTAGTATTAAAGGGAGAGTTTTCCACAGGGTTCTATGGTTGCTGTAGTAACAGCTTCTTTTGTTTGTACATATTCAGAATAGCTGCTTCCTTTCAGTGTCTGGTAGCAGGGATATTATGGAGGTAACAAAGACAAAGAAGCACCACTCTACCACAGAAAATCATTTCCATTGTCAGATTATTCTTGTTCAACTGGGTTTAACTTTATTGTAGGGCTAAATGTAGCTTCTGAAGATTGGTGAGTAACAAGATCTTTTAAAAGTTATGAATTCCAACAGGAAAAGAACAAGGTATGCTATGATCTACAAAAACGTTGTGCTAGCTTGAGCAACACACCTCCACTCTCTTGTGGCCTTAAAACTTGAAACACTCCATTTTATTTCTACCTGATAATGCTCACAAATTGTACTGCAAGCTCCCTAGGAGGTATTTTTCTCAACAGGAGAAAAAACATCTCTTCAAAATGCCCACAAATCCCTGTATACCTTTCCAAATACTAATTAATTCCTCTAATTAGAGCTTTTTTTGGCTGCAACCATTTACAAAGTTGAATTTCTGCATACAAACAAATTTAATGAATATTCATAAACTAATAACATTCACTGAATTTTCAGTCTTCTTGCCCACATAATGCTATTGCAACCAGCTTATAACAGTCTTCTACAGACCATACTAAAGAAAGGCCATCTCCAAGGAAAAGGTAGAGAAAAATATAGATTTTTTTCAAGAACAGACAGCCTACCAACTGAATTGTATATACTATAATTTATGTATATACATATTTTATATGTAGTTTATAATTATTATTTATACATATGTATATTATGTTATAAAATACATGCATATATGCCTATAGATGATAGATAGATAACCTGGAATAAAATAGAAACTCAAGGGGTTAAAAGCATTGAAGAAAAACATTAAAAACGGCATCTGCAGGTTGAACAGTCGTATTCTGTAAACACACAAACAGGATGCAAATAAGCAAATCAGAAGGCACAGCTGTCCTTATAAACAAATTAATCTTGAACATAGTTGTATTATCATGTTTTTAACCCTTTGGGATTCTGGAAAAGTACAATATAAAAGCAAAGCAATGCTCATTATTTAAAATTTAAATTTATTCACTATTTGTTCAACTAAGAGCTTTTAAACTTTAAATTTTTAATAACATTAATGAAACAATTGACTGGTTTAATTTGGCAACTACAGCTATTAACAGGTGCTACACCTTAAGACTTGAGTATATGACAATTTGATTACTTATTTGCCTAATAATTCTCACAACAATCCACTAATTTTATCCCTCTACTTTATAAAACCTGAATGAACTTATTTTGATGATTCAAAGTTGAAAGGAATCTAGAAAACATTAGAGATGTTTAAATTATTTAATTAAGATACAGAGTTCCTGAACACTATTCTTGGATATAATATACATACATATTTATTTTGCTTATTTAAATAATATTTTTAAATAAAAATGTTTTATATTTATATTTATTTCAGTTAATTATAAACTATTAAAGGTGAGATTTACAGTCCAAAGACAAGTATTCCAATATCTCTGCTTTCAGATCGTATGCTTTGGGGAAAATGTCTAATCTGTTTGACCATTCATTTCACAAACTGTAAAACAATGATACTAACAACTTTTATGGCTTTGAGAGAATCAATTAAGATGACAGAAATTCATGCTAAAACTGTGACTATTGTATGATTCTGTTGGAATAATATACATTAGGAAGACATAGTAAGTTTTGTTTTTCATCTCATGAATCCTTTTTATTTTTATCTCTTCTCTTCCTCTTATGTTCTTGTGTATTATAAGTATTATGAATTGATGATATCTGTATTTCTAAATATACTCTTGAATTTTCTTCCAGGCTCCAGACCTGAATTTCCTAAATATTTGCAACTAATGTCCTATTAGTTAACTCAATTGCACCGGATCCAAATCTGAACAATTCATCACATCTTCCTAAAAAAATTTCTCCTCACTGTCATACTTTTGATAAAGGCATTACCTTTCTTCTAGTTTCTAAGGTCCGGTCCAAAAATCTTGGAGTTGCCTTTTCTCCTACCCAGGTAATGGTTACATTTTATACCTCTACAACATGGTGCTATCTCATGGATTTGAGCTCTCATTTTCATTCTCATTCAACTCTGGTTGAGATAACCACACATTCTTGCTTAGACTAATGTAGTGTCTACAGATCTCCAATTTCCCCAACATTCTGCAGATCATTTCCTTTATCTGAAGTACATTACTGACTCCCTTTATGGTTTCTGGCTTCTAACTGCACAGCTAAAAACTTCTTAGTTTGACTCTCAGGGCATTTCATGATCAAGATCCAGTCTACATGTTATTGCTATGTTCATCACTCTTATAAAATGAAATTTCTCATGATTCTGTAACATTATTCATGTATTTGCAACTTGGCTTTTGTGAGTCTATACTTATTCTGTTTCCCTCACTTGAGTAGCTTTCCTCTATCACAACTTCTAGAGGTCAAATATCACTTAAGCCATGAAGCTTTCCTCAGTTTCTTCCCTCTGTGTTAAGGTAGACCTGCTTGCTCCTTCTGCTGAAATTTACTTTTGGATTTGCATCATTCTTATTTTTATACATTTTTTATTGTTTCTACTAGATTTTTGGATATATTTAATTTAGAATTACTATAACAGCTATTATAATAAACAAATATAAAAATTATTTCAAATGAATAAAATTTTTATGAATTTAAGCAACTTACATATGAATGCTTATAACTTTTTGATCTATCAATAAAGTCTCAGAGTGAAAGTTAGACTTTTTTCCTAGCCTTTTATCTGATCTCATACTTTTACATCTAGCACTATTTGAAATCTTCAGAAATAATTTTAAATTATTGTTATAATGCTATGTAGTTCACAGATTAAATTATTGCTAGAGTACACCTAATGGATAGTCTGTGCTCTTAAAAAGAAATGTGCATGAAACAACACTATCCCTTTTTCTTTCTCAAGACAATGATTCCTGAGACTGAGGTATTTATCTGAAAGCCATTGAAATCACCAGCTTAACAGGTAAGCCTACAGGCTAAGGTAAAAAAGCGTAAAGATAAGAACCTGGATCCATCATGCCATCGTTGATTTGTTGAACTACCACTGCTCAATCTGTTCTACCTCCAAATATTTTGTTATACAGTCTGATTAATCTCATGTTATATAAGCCTATTGAAGTTAGATTTTCTGTTATTCTAGACCAAAAACATCATAAAGAATGGCACAGGCATTAAGAGAAATGAGTTGATGACAGACCACAAGATCCCAGGGAGAGAGAAGGAGAGAAAGAGAGTAATGTAGACTTTCCTTTTTTTTTTTCTTTTCTTTTTTTTTTGGAAACAGAGTCTTGCTCTGTCGACCAGGCTGGAGTGCAGTAGTGTGATCTTGGCTCACTGCAACCTCAGCCTTCCAGGTTTAAGTGATTCTCCTGCCTCAGCCTCCGACTGGCTGAGGCTACAGGTGCCCATGGCCATGCCCACTAATTTTTTGTATTTTAGAAGAAATGAGGTTTCATCCTGTTGCCCAGGCTGGTCTGAAATCCCTGAGCTCGGGCAATCTGCCCACCTCAGCCTCCCAAAGTGCAAGGATTACAGGCGTGAGACACTGCACCCAGCCAGACTTCCCATTTTTTTTAATGAATTAAGCTATACTTTTATTATTATTATTATTCAAGGAATTTCTCTGTACCCTCTAAAATATATCCCTATTGTATATGTATTAGTAAATAGTTTTCAGGTTCTTGTATCTAAATCATTTCTAAATAAACAACATATTATCACATTCAATCCCCAAGACAATAATTGTAAATTAAACATTTTTTTTGCTCCAATTAATTCAGTATTGTGCATTTTATTATCTTAGAGTATTGAATGTCTTCCATTTTCTCCCTTTTTTCATTGGCCACAAGTGTTAAAGTCAAGTGACCACTAGATCAGCCAGCTCAGATATATTTGGAAACACATCAATCTATTTTAAACTTAAGATACTGAAAGCCCCATTTGAACACACAGAATCAGTAGTGGAAGCCAATTAGGAACACAGTTAAAGTAAATATAACTTTAGCTTTTACATCTCCAGCATTTTGCTTCCTTTTTCTTTCTCCCACTTCAACAAATTCAATGCATTAACCATTCATTTAATGTAAATATAATATTATCCCTGTAAGATTCTCATACAATGTTTTGAGAATCTTGTACAGTGGAGAAAATAGACATATATAACTCAGAGAAGAAAAGCAAAACAGACTAGTTTCTACTTTTTCCATAAACAGGAAAAATCCTATACATGGCTAACCTAATCTCTCTCCTTGAAGCTTTGCTCCTATCTTTTCCCAAGTACCCAACTCTTGCAAAGTTTCACCTCAAGTGTTAAGTTCAGCTCAATCATGACGGTGGCCTTTAAATACATTTTGTAGACCTGTACTTGTTTAATTTTTATACCATGTCAGAATTCTTCCTAGAGTAAAACATGGCTGTATTTCCTTAAACAAGGTAATTTGCAACTGTCAAATGATAGACATAATCTGTCCTCCAATGTCAAAGAAATAGAATCTAAGTGTGGTAGGTCACCCATGTAATTCTAGCACTTTGGGAGGCCAAGGCGGGGGAATAACTTGAGGTCAGAAGTTTGAGACCAGCCTGGCCAATATGGTGAAATCCTGTCTCTACTAAAAATACAAAAATTAGCCAGGCATGATGGCATGCATCTGCAGTCCTAACTACTTGAAAGGCTAGGGCATGAGAATCGCTTGAACCCAGGAGACAGAGGTTGCAGTGAGCCAAGATCACGCTGCTGCACTCCAGCCTCTTGTACAACAGAGTGAGACTATGTCAAATAATAAAAACAAGAAACTTATGTCTTATCTTGCCAACTTGAACTAAAGGTGTCAGCAAATAACAATGAAAGAAGAGCAAATAAAAATAGCGTTAACTTATGACTCACAAAATGAAACAAAAAGCACACCAAGAAACAAAAACAAATAAAAACCCACAGAAGCAAAAAACAAAAGCAAAAATGTGTAGAACTCAACGTTTTCAAAACATATGAAATAACTTTTCATTTTGTAACTGGAATTAAACTTTAGGTTATCATAACCATTGTTATCACAAAACAGTACTTAGGATAAAACACTTCTAAGGAATACTAGTATTTCATAAATGTTTACAGCCTTATTATTATTCATTCTGTTTTAAATAAAAATAAAATGATATGATAAGCAGGGGATTGTCTTTCTATTAAATTTATAAACACATAAAAGTATTTTTATCACTGCTTTCACCAACTGTGACAATTTAGTTTCAACACTCAAACTTTATATTTTATGAATTTTTTTTCTGGTAATAAAATTACTGTTAAAATAACTTGAGGTGCTATTTTAATTGAACTTCAGAGCTCCAATGTCAGTTTAGTGATTTCTTTTTTTTTTTTTGAGTAAGTTCGAGGATATACCATGAAATACAAATCTAAGAAAATTAATATAAAGCCTTTCAGATCAGGAAAAGAAACTTTCTATACTTACTTTAATGTCTTTATTATAAATGTTATTTTAAATATATTCTTATTATTTTCACTTTAAGCTTATTTTAAGCTTGAGTCACTTAAACTTGTACTGTTTAAACTTTTTATTTTCTTTCCCTCATTTATTTTATACTTGCTTTAACAATGATTAGCAAAAGATGGGTCAGAAGTGGAGAGATCTTATATCCTCAACAAGGAAGGGAGAGAAAGAAGAAATTCGATGGAAACATTCATCTCTGTGCTGCCTATGCCAAGAATTTTATTCTGAGAGTGGGATTATCAGAATGGTGGTATTTGATCCTATTTTACAACTCTTATCCTGGGTGGAGGTAAGGTCACTGCAGGTTTCTTCTAAGTTAGAGCCATAAGATTTTGGGTCAAATGTACCAAGAGCAAGCCTGTTCTCAAGATAAACTGGCATATGGACTCTCTGGGCTTATGTGTGGTAAGAAGTCAAACAGTAAAGAAATTCCTTTAACTACAAACTCAGTGGAAGAATACTACCCTCAAAACAAACTTTTTATCACAGAAAATTTTGAACATAAAATTTTTTTTAAAAAAGAAAAGTAATGTATCATTCTACCACTCTGAAATAATGATTGTAATAACTTGGTGTCTTTCTTTTGAGTCTGCTTTTGTTTATGAATGTGTATGCATCCATAATTTATTTCTTGGAATAATTTCATAGGCATCACTTCAAGGGCAATTAATAATATTAATTTTCTGTAGACATTTTAATAGCACAATATTCACATGTACAATTTGTAATTTAATATTGTCTCATTATTAATCATTTAAATTATAAGGCTTAAATATGTATAAATAGAACATTGAGGAGCAGTATTTTAAACAAATTTATGAGATCCTTGAGATAATTTTCTTTGAATATAATTTTTGAAAGTGGAGTGAATGAACATTTGAAGGCTTTCTTAGTACATATAATCATATTGTTTGCTAGAAATATACTACAGTCCTACTGTATGCCTTCTCTATATCAGGAAATATTATCTTTCAGAAAAATAAACTAGTTTAGTAAAAAAAAGTATCTGATTTTGTTAGTCTGCATTTCTTTGATTAACAATGAGTCTAGTTTTAATTTGAACTATATTGTACTTTTCATTTCATTTTCTTTGTATTATATATAAAGTATTTGAATTTTAGAAATTACATTGCCATTGTGACTTGTTCTTTGTCGCACAAAAGACACTCCTCTTATTGTCTACCATGCTTTTCTTTCTACTCACATGTTACCCTTTGAGGAGGCACTGATGAATTGTGGCTTGGGGCTCCAGAACAGAAATAGGGTGTAAATGATGCTTTTGAAAGAGTAGCCATCATATTTGAGAGACAAATGGATATGGATAAAATAAATAATCAAAGTAAAAAAGAAACTGATTATAAAAGGAAAGAATGTATAGATATATAACCAGAGAATGCAAAGAAAAGGGAAAAAAGCGAACAGAGTTTTAGGGCCAAGATGATTACACTCTTTAGGCATTCATATGCATTGTATACCAGAAAACTCTTTAAATTCCTTGGTGTCCATTAAGTCGCTGCTATACAATTTCGTTCCCTTGTTTTTAAAAATCACTACTACAAAATGCTAAAATGTCAGTAGTGGTATAAGTGAATATAGACTTGCTTTATATTGTCTAGAATAAAGTGCATGTGGAGAGTGGATTCAGCATAGAAGTTAACAGTGTGGATGCTAAAGTCAAAGTGCCTAGGCACATTCTTGACTCTGCTCTTTACTAGTTCTGTAAACTTGGGCAAGTTACTTAGGCAATCCATGCCTGATTTTCTCATAAGAATATTGTGTGGATTACAAAGTGAATACAGGGAATATTTATCAAACAATCTCTGGCTCATAAGCACACCACATATATTGGCTGTCATTTTTTAGTAAAGCTAGTAAAGTATGAAGAAAGCTATACATTTACAAAAATAAGCCATGAATTTACTGTTATCTCATTTATTTAGCAGGCATTTATCGAGCACATGCTACATTCCAGATCTCTTGCATGGTGGTAGGAATATAAATGATTTCTTTCTAGTGAACATGCTCTACCTGTAACCTCTGGAGGGGAGGCTTCATGTAAGTATTACATGTACACAACCCTATGTGCTCATCTTTAAGCCCAGGGAGGCCAATCAAATCAGTTTCTCTCTGAGAAGTGTAATTAAAATAGTCCAAGACTGAATTGGTTATCTTTGGGCGTTCAGCTGAAAAGATATATTGATTTGAAGACTGTATTTTAGGCCAAGTGTAAGTCAAAAAATGCTGGTAGAGACAGAAAGAGAGGAGAGAGGACGAGAGAGGAGAGCTATTAAGGATATGCATTGGGAGAGAGAAGGGAGAGAGATATACAGAGGAGAAATAAAGGGAAGGGAGAGGAAAAGAGAAAGAAAGAGGAGAGAAAGGAGAGAGGGGAGCTATTAAGGATATGCATTGGGAGAGAGAAGAGAGGAAAAAGCTTCAGACCACGTAGACTCTAAAAAAGAGAATAGCTCAGCCTAGGACTTTATGATTCCTAATTTCCTCTCCAGGGGACCTTGCCGTACGTCATCCCATAATATTAAAAGGCAATAGAATTTACTCTCATATCTTCATCATATCTGCTCTGATCCCACTGATTTTTACCTGAGGCATTAGGTGTATTTCTGCTTCTATTTCCCAAGGAACTTTAATTGAAGTAGTGTAGAGAAGATGAACATGAAGTAACTTTCTGGCTTGGGTAGAGATTGGTCATGAGACCAGTCTTAGTCTATAAGAGTTTTATATAAGTCTTCTAACAACTTTTATTTCTTCTTCACTCTTTCCTTGTTCTCAGTCTTCTGTTACTAGAGTTGGTACTTGGAGTTCAGTGCCCACCCACTATCTCTGACTAGTACATAAAGGCTGTGATTTAACATCAATAGAAACTCTGAGAGAGGTGTTCTAAAACTCCTAAAGGGTTTCCTGGACTCCATAGCATTATTCTTCTGTTTGTTTAACAAATACCACCAGTATAGTACAGACATCACTCACTATCTGTGGAAGATTGGTTCCAGAAACCCCACAGATACCAAAATCTAAGCATGCTCACGTTCTTTATTTAAATGGCATAGTATTTGCACATAACGTATGTACATCTTGCTGTTTACTTTAAATCATCACTATATTACTTACAATACCAAATACTGTGTAAATGCCATGTCAATAGTTGTTATATGGTATTGTTTAGGGAATGATGACAAGAACAAAAAGTCCATAACATGTTTAATGTGAACACAACCATTCCTTATGTCAATATTTTTGATCTGTAGTTGGATGAATCCATGGATGCAGAACCCATGGATACAGAATGCTGACTGTACTTTCTACTTATGATAGTACAAGTGTAAGAGTAAATATTAAAGTTGAGGAGACTAATACATGTTGAGCATCTCTTATGTAGGCCAAGCACTATCCTAAGTGCTTTACATAAACTGACTGTATTACAGTGTCTCATTTTATTTTTCTAATAACTTTGTGAGGTTTGCATCATCCTCATTACACAAAGAAGAAAACAGAAAGACTCACCAAGTGAAGCACTTACCAGCAGCCTCATGGCTAGTAACAAGACCAAGATTTCAACCAAGATTAAAATGCATGACTCTGACTATGCCATAAGTGAGAGAGTACTGTGTACTTTATTTGGTCCCTTGTGAAACAGGTAAACTAGTGATATGAATTGAATAAACAGTAATTGCACTATCATATTGCATATAATAACTTGAGGCAGATTTTACATAATTTCTAAAACTGGTTATTGTCATTTGTTTTTGAAAAAAGACTAACTTTGTCTAAAATGATGACCCTTTTTGGCATGTGTTATGTAAACAAATGATTCTCCAAATAATAGCAATTCGATAAACTTTAAGTTTCTATTTTGAATACAAAGATGGGAAAAACAGAGATCCTTCTTTCTCACAAAATGAGGCTTTGTAGAAAAAATTATCTAAAGAGCCATAAATCAAAGGAAAATCAGAATTTCTTTTTATTGGAAGCAATTTGTTTTTTAGAACTAATCTCGGTACTCTATATACATAATTTTTCATTTAATCTTTATTACAATGAAATTGATATCATGTGATTTATCTGATAAAGAAACTGATATGTAAATCTTGTAAGGTCAAGGATTTTTACCTGTTTTATTCATACCTGTTTGTCTAATATCTTAAACTGTAGTAGGCATATGGAAGATTCTCCTTAAATATATTTTGAATAAATGGAGAATTAGAGATGCTTATTCAATTGTCAAGTAATGCAATCTATGAGCAGCATCTTGGTATACCAGACAAGTCTAAATCCAAATCCTTTATTTTCTCATTACACTACACTCTGAGGGGCAGGACTATGTACATTTTTCTTGATTTTATTATCAGTAAATGCACAGAACCTGGCACATGGTAGGTAAGCAGTGAATGATCTTGAATAAATAATCTCATAAGGTTCTTTCCTATATGCAATAAATATCAAAAGATATATTTTATAATGTGATTTGTAATACTTCTTTTAAAATTATTAAATCATGTGAAAAAGGTTGATAGAGAGTAAATGGGTGTGATTGTGATTCATATTACCTCATCGTGAAATTGATATTGTAGATATTTGCATTTTAAACTAATGTACATGCTATCACATATCACAGCCTAGCAAGATTTTCTGAAATAGAACTGACCTATGTCTACTTACAGTAACTTTATTCATTGAGTCATACACATTTACTACTTGGTAAATTATTGACCTATTGAGTCTGCACACTTTAGTGGAGATAAACCAATTTTTTTCTCTCTCTCTTTTTGAGGGATTTCTCTTCCTAGGTCATTCAAACCAACTTTTAGTGGAAAAAAAACTTTATTGTCATTTTAATTACTTATATCAACTATTTTACTTTCCAGCTTAATTTTATTTAGTAATTGGCAAAATTTATGGCAAAAAGTATGTTTTCCAAAAGTTGTAGGCAAGCTTCACCTTAAGAAAAACAACAGCATTTAAGCAAGACTGAAAAAATTTGAGACATTTTATACATGTACACACAATATTATACTTTTATACAGTCCTGTAAGAGCAGAGTTATTATATGTACTCTTGCTATAACTTCTGAACTGTTGCTCACAAACTTCTTTCTACTTTTTAATCAAAAAGCCATTTTATTTTTACCCTCCCTCTGCTAGCCCCCTTATAATAACATCCAAACGGTCTTGGGTTGATAACGCCACCTGGTGGTAGAAAACTGTCTAAGCCAACCATCTTCTCGCACCGTCTCTTCCCTCTCAGAATAATTTTGCTCAACTCACTGTCATTGTACATAATTACTAGACACAGTAATTATCTTGCTTTAATTAATCTCTTTCTCGCATGTGTTCAGACAGCCTTTTAAATCCTCTTACTCTTCCCCCTCTCAATTGCCTCTACTTCCTCAAGGTACATGTCTGTTTTCTCCTTCACTCTGTTGCAATTGAGTTTGAACAAAAACTTTCTGATGCATGATTGACTGGTACATCAAGAACACTAGTGGTACAAATGGATACAATGAGGTGGAAAACACAAAGTTAAATATTTACTTATGAATTATGAATTTGATAAAGTACAGCAAAATTTTTCCTGTCTCTCTTCCTTGTTGGCAGTAAAGTAATTCTCTTCCTTAAAGATGACAGAGTCAGTAGTAATCCACAGACACATGTATAGAAATATTATTTTCCTCCACAAAAAAACTGTAGCCTATTACTCAAACCTTTCTGCATCTCCTTTCATTTCCATGATGATGTGTCTTAGTGATGTTTTCAGATAGGTACACAGAGGGTTATCTCATTCTTTTTAAGGGCTGCATTATATTTTACTGCATGGCTGTGCCATCACTTATGCAACAGATTCTATACTGAAGCATTTGTAGGGATTTTTTCCTAATCATTTACTACTACCGCAAAAAATGATGCACTATCATTTACTGGTACTACAGAAAATGATGCACTAAATAACACTGTGCCAGTCAACACTAGGGTAGCTGTGCAATCAATATCTAGAAACAGAATCGTTGAGTTCTAAGGGTAAGGGCAGAAAATAGTATGAAAGATTACAACCCAGTGCCCTAAGTTTTGTGACAATGTCCAAACACAACTTTTGGACTCTGCAAAATTATTTTATTTACCCTCTTATATTTTCCTTATTGAACTAATTTTTTCTTAAGCATGGAGACACACAGCCCCCATGCCTAAACTTTTGTAAAGTTAGCTACATGTAAAATATGTTAGAGTTTCAAACAATTGACTCAAAATCTTTGGAACAGAATGTACTTAAGAGATTTCTTGTAGTAGACATTATTTTGACTAGTTATTTATACAAAAATTACTCAATTTGAAAAGTGTACTGTTTAAAATTAATATGATTTGATCCCTTTTAAGGTTAGAACAGCTGTTAGTCACATAAAAAGACTGCAATAAACTGGTAAAGTGATGTATTATGTTAAATTACCATCATTAATTAATTTATAGGGTAATTCAATAGAGATTATTTCCTATTTTATGTATCCAAATATGGTCATTTACACACCCAATCTATATATTATAGACTCAGAATTTTATAGCTGATGTGGAGATTAAGGATACTCTACTTTTTAAAATTATATTTCTGAGGAAACTAAGAACCAGACATTGGAAGTATTATATATCAGGTGTAATATACACCCATCTATATATTATAAACTCAGAATTTTATAGCTGATGTGATGATTAAAGATACTCTAGTTTATTATTATTATTATTATTAATTATTATTATTATTATATTCCCGAGGAAACTGAGAATAAGACATTTGAAGTATTATATATCAGGTGTACATTCACATTTATAAACAATAATATTGGCAATAACATGAATTTAGTGTATATTATATCTTCAGCATTGTGCTAGATGTTTTGTGTGTATTAGCTCATCTCACCGTAATAAATGCCTAATTTGATAGCATCTATTATTATTAATTTTTTTATTTAGTTTAATGGATGAAACTAAGAGAAATAAAAAGAATTTACAATGTCAGGCTGCAGTAAGCAATAAGGCCAGAGACTTAATTAACTTTGTTTATTTACATTAATTTACATATTTATTAAATTTCTAAGTTTATCAACTAAATCCCTATTTATTGGCTTTCTACTTTATGCATATTCTGCTAATCTAAGAGAATGAGAACAAAGACACTTAGTGGAAAAGAATGAGGAAGACGAAAATTAGACTGAAAGTGGAAAAGAACATGGAAGTAGTAATGGGAGAGAGCAGTGATATAGTAAGCAAAGGTGTTTTAGAATTTCATTACATATATTCTACTTTTCTCAGCATGGGGTACTTAAAGATTAGTGTCTACATACTGACATGTAAGGAATCAGCAATTTAATCTAGATACGGTTTTGGACTATCCTTTCCTTAAGTCACTAAGCTCCACCCTTAACATTTCAGGGGTCAGTTAGAAAATGACTAATTCAAGCCTTCAGCTGGAGAACACATTGCTCAAAATGGCTGAGAAAATTTGCCTTAGTGATTAGCTATTTCAACACCATGAATGAAAGAAATTATGAAGCTAGACAAATATAATGAATATTTCCTCACGTTGCAGGTCTCCTCATTAGTGAGATGAAAATAAGAGTGAAAAACTGACTGAAATTTAGGTTTTTCTAGTGTTATTAATTTTGAAATATGGCATTTCAGATTAGGTCTTGCATTTATGACACAAAACCCATGCATGATTCTTACAAATAGATCAAACCATTTTGTGACTCTATTTTATAAAATACATTCAACAAATACTTGAAACACTACTGGCTTTGGTCCACCCTCATGTGCCACACATTGCAGTAAACAAAACAGATGAAATCCTTGCCCTTACTGTACTTATGTTCGAGTATGCAAGAAAAGATAGAACACAAAATACATATGTGCTATATTGTAGGTAGATAATGAAAAGGACAATGGAAAAAAAACCATGAAGGTTGAAGAGGAAGTAAGGGGCACAGTTTTAAATAAAATTTTCATGAAAGGCTTTTCTGAGAAGTCGACATTTGAAGAAAGACCAGAAAAAGGTGATGAAATGAGTCATGTGGCTATTTTAGAGAAAGGCATTCCAGGAAGAGCAAGTGCACAGGCACTACAGCAGAGCATGTCTGACATTTTCAAGGAACAATGAGAAGGCTAGTGTGGTTAGAGCTGAGGGAATGAGACAGAAAAGGTTGGGAGACAGGATTAGAGACCAAATAAAGGGTCCAACCTTCAAACCTTGTGGGTCATTATAAGAATTTTGGCTTTAATAATGAGGATAGAAACAGAGTCACTGGAGAGATTTAATGAAGAAGAGACAACATCTGAGTATCAAGAAAAGCAATGATTCTGAGTATGTTTCTGTTCCATTATTCTGACAATAAAGCTTCAAAGAGACTCTGAAAGATCCTCACCAAGGCCATCCATGGAACAGGTATCAATAGCATGTAGGATGAAGCACTATTTGTCTGGTTAAGCTAAAAATCATGTTTTCCCCAAATCTTCTTCCTTGTTTTTTATAAGTTGACAACAAGAGAAGCATGTGTGAGATTTAGGAGGTGAAATGGATAGTTGAGTAGCAGTTAGTCTCTGAGAGTCATCATAGTCAGAGGTTGTGATGGACAGATACAGAGACATCTCGTGGGTCATAGCCTGTCTTAACTCTTCTCCACTATGCATCCAGCATCTTTCTGACCACTGACTCTGTTATTCAGCAGTGGCTAGGGCCACCACAAAATGCTTCACTGTGGAGCCACAAAGGTAAGAATGTGTCAGGAGCAATAGTTGCCTACAGAAGTCTTTATAAACTTTCCTTGGCTGGAATTGCTTGGTTTCCTGGATTGCTTTTCTGATGATCCAACTATAATAATCATTTGGCTTCACTTTCATGGTTCCTTCCACAGTTGTGCAAGATATAATTGTGATAATAAATTCCTACCCATGACACTCATTAATGACTCCCCCTGCTTAGAACAGCCTAAAATAGTGCATTTGCAGAAAAACATCCATTTGCTTCAACATTTGATAAACCTGGCAAATATTGGCAAGTTTGGAAAATTGGAAAACAAAATTATATTCTTTGTAGGACGTGTTTGGCTCAGAAAACAATGTTTTGAGATGTTTTCAGGAAGGTTTTTCTGTAGCAGACGGAATGTGGTTGCATAGCATGATCCAAGGTTTAAGAATAACATTTAATCCCAACTTCTGCTTTCGAATGCTGTCAATTTGGAAAATGAGAGCAGATGTTGACAGAGATATATTTGCTGGTCTGATGCCTCAGCAAACACTCTCTGAAGGAAAGACAACGTGAGACTAGACTGATTAAATATTCTCTCTTAAATTTATTTTGCCAATCCTTTTAGCAGTATCCTCTAGAGACAACATCTCCAAGATGATGAATACAAAAAGATGTCATTAAAACTCAACAAAGTTTCCATCTTTAATACTTGAGCTTTGAACATCAGAAACCTGTATTAAACACAATATTTCTTCATGTTTCAATTTTAAATGTTAAAAAGAGTCTGCTTATTCTCTGGTGATTCCTGATGTCAGGGTTTCTTCTTTCTAAATGTATTGAGTCTACTCTAGTTGCAGTTCAAAGAGCTAATTACTAGATGTCTGAGTAAAATACATGTTGATATTCTTTAAAACAACAAATTTCAGAAATTCTTACAATTTTGGTTTATGGAGAACTTCCAATAATCTGAAATTTTTTTAATAATATAGTATTTGGATTTTGTAAAATACAGACCACCTATACAAGAGCAGTGGAAGTCTTCAGCAAATTAAGAATGAAAATATTTTATGCTACTGAATACTATTGTTTCAAAGTCATCAGTGATTTATTGAGCTTATATATGGTCATGATTCCCTATCGCATTGTTTCATTTAATCTTCATGACCAACCTGTGGGCTGCTTTTATGTAACATGGCGGTTCCAACAGGTTAAATAATTTGACCACCTTCTCAGACCCAGTGGCTGGCTGATTTACAGCGTGGACCCTGGCATAATGACCACTAGTGCTCTTTCCTTCAACCTCCGTCATATTAGGTATAGAAATAATATACTGACCCCAATATTTTATTATTTAATCCTTACCAGAGATGTATTACCAGTACTACCTAGCATCTCTTCTGAGAATGAACACTGGGTTGTAAATGCACCACTCTTATTAGACTATTAATTTTTCCAATTATTTAATAAACTACCCCTTTTAATGGTTTGACAACTTGAGTTAAAACTGGAAACATGAGCCAACATTCATGGAACACTTACTGTGTGCCAGGTACTGTTTCATGAGCTTGACATATGTCTAACCCTCCTTACTTAAACTCCGTTATGTATCTACAATTACCCCCATTCTACAGATAGGAGAACATCCATACAGGTAAGTCAATTGTCCAAAGCCGTACAATAAGCAAGTCATAAAGCCGGATATTACACCTGAGAATGTGACTTTTGAGCTTTTACTTCTATTATAAACAAAACAAATTTTAAAACACATATGATTTTTATATATTCTGTTTAAATAAATGTTGGTATAATATATTTGAAAATGTTTCAAAAAGCTTCAGTGTATTTAAAGCAAAGTATTTTTAAATTACATCTTCAATTAAAAAAAGTCTAAATGTAAGTTGCTTTCTAACACAGCATGCTTAAATTTACTGAACATGACCTATGTTAATTTAGGGAGCTATCAAGTTTTTCAGCATTTTAAGCTGCATGATTTAAAAATAAATAAGAGGAAGAATACATCAGCAACATACTAGAATAGGAGTTTCCCCTCACAGAAAATATCCATTTGAACAGCTATCCATACCTGAAAATACATTCACAAGAACTAAGGAATGCAGGTGAAAGATTACAGCCATTTGAGTGAAGCACAAGAACAAGAAAAGATGCATAGAAGACGATAAGGAGGACAGTTTTATATTACCTGCATCACCTTCCCTAAAAACCATGCAGCATAGGATGGAGAACAATATCATCCTTAGCATGTGAGGAGAAAAAGGACATGGGCAATCACTTCATAGTGAACCCCAGTATCAGGCCTTCTCCAGTTAACCATGGTGTCAGGCTAGGCCGTAGAGACCCAAGCAGTAGGCTTCCCCTAGTTTCAAGCTGGCCTGGGCAGTCCCAGGCTCCAGGCTGGCACTTTGGATTTAGGCTCCACGTGTAGGATATCCTCCATGGACTCAGACTCCAGGTCAGTGCCCACAGACCCAGAACTCAAGTCCACTCTTCAGACTCAGGCTCCAGGCTCACCTTAGTGTCAAGCTGACTCTTGCAGTCCTGGGCTCTAGGCTGGCACCATGAACCCAAGCTCTAGACTCACTCCAGTGCAACAGTAGCCTTAGTGGCCTCAGGGTATAGGCTGGCTCCCATAGCCCCAGGATCCAGGCCCAACCCAGTGTCAGGCCAGCTCTGTGACCAGGAGCACCAGGCAGCACCCATGAATTTAGACTGGAGGCTTGTATTCGTGGATCTTGGATCCAGTTCCACATGAATAATCACAGA